TCCCACAGCTAATAGTTAATGTAACAGATGTTTTACCTCCCCCTAGACTGATTTTTTCCTTTGGTTGCTTTCTACTACCAAAAGGTAGAGATATGTGTTATGTTTGACAAGCAGCATGATATTCAAAGACACATGCATTCACCTGTGATCCAAAGAAAAATTATTTCTTCATTGTTTACAGTTTTCCTCAGTGGTGTTGTGCCATCATTTTCTCTCATTATTTTTCTTAGGATTTCTTTCTTTTCTTACAGTTTGAAATGGAGCACTTTTGCACAGTTTGTAGGCGTATCATATATGTTTTCTCGATATTAGCCAGCACTAAAAGAATGCTTTTGATTTGAGATGCTTGAAGAAAGCAGTCATGGAGTAAAGTGGGTGTTCCCCTGTTCTCTGACATTTTAATAAGCTGAGCTAAACTTTACAATCATATATTCCTCTTACCTCAATGGGATTGCTCTTGCATGGAAGTGACCAGATGCTCTTAAGAGGGAACCTCCCTTTGACAGGGAACTGCTGGTCTGATCAGCACAACGTATGCTGTCTCTATATGTAACTGTGACCTCATTCAAAGTCCTTTATGGAACTTATGTCATTGGTGACATTTTGAGAAGTCATGTTTCCTTGTTTGCTTGTCATTTTTATAAAAACCTGTCCTGGTTTCAGCCGGGATAGAGTTAATTTTCTTCCTAGTAACTGGTACTGCTGTACTGTGCTTTTTCATTCAGTATGAGAATAACATTGATAGCACACTATTTATTATTGATTTAGTTGTTGCTAAGTAGCGCTTACCCTCAGTCAAGAACTTTCAGTGTCTCATGTTCAGCCAGGGAGCAGGTGCACAAGAAGCTGGGGGAGCATAGCTAGGGGAGCTGTCCCAAACTGGCCAAAGGGCTGTTCCATACCATAGAACATCAGTCCCCGTATATAAAAAGGGAGGAACTGGCTGAGAGAGGTTGATCGCTGCTCAGGAATGAGCTGGGCGTCAGTCAGCAGATGCTGTGCATCACTTATCTTCCTTGGGTTTTATTTCTCTCTCTTTTATTGTTGTCTGCCTTTCCATGACTATTATTATTATTGTTGCTGTTGTTGTTGTATTATATTCTATTTTATTTCAATTATTGAACTATTCTTATCTCAACCCACAGATTTGCCTTTTTTTCTGATTTCCCTCCCCCTTCCACCATGGCTGGTGAAGCAAGGGCTTCATCATACCCCTTAAACCATGGTAACACAACATCTAACAGTCCAGTTATTCAATTTAAAAATATTTTCTTTTTTCTTTTTTTTTTTTGGTAGATATGGGACAATGGGAAAATGACTCATTAGTAGCTCTGTGTGGGTGTGTAAGCCTATAGATTAAAAATGCCGGAGGAGTACAGGAAAATACAGTGGGAGTAGAAATTGCACTGAAGATTCTGTCAGCCTCAGAGGCAATGGATGTAGTTTCAGATCTATATTTCACTATTTAGTTGTATCAGTGAGAACTTGGTATTAGAACAAACACGTGACTTCTCAGTCACAAATGAATTTCTGTCATTTTATCTGATTAACTAGTAATGTCTATCAAGTGGTTTAATATCTCTGTGGTATAAACATCAAGAAATGGTAGGTATTTTCACTTCTGAGCTGACATGTCTGAGTATTTAACTCTGCTAAAAATCCCAAGAGGAAGCTGTAAAGCATTACTAGGCTGCTTTGGTCTGAAATATACCCAGACAAATGCACATTGTGCAGTGGCAGGGGGTGTACTAAAGGGAAATGGGGGGGTGGGGTGTTTCAGCCACCATTTTAGAGACTTTATAGATCCTACCAAAATGCAAAATTGAAATGTCAACACCAAAAAAAGAGTGCTTTGCTGCAGTACAGCAGACCCCAGTGTCAACATGGTGTCACTGAACACAAATCTGCCTTAAACCACTAATGTTTTCTGCTCACTATACATCCACTCAAGTATAATTTTTAAAGTAACAATAATAACCATCCTTCCACTCAAACATGGTTTTTTAAAGATGGGAACTTTAGAGACAAATGCTGCTCTCTCTTGCCAAGTCTGGCAAAACTGGGAGTAGTTGGAGCTATTCCTGATCCTTGGCTCCATCAAGAGGTCAAGGAAGAATACCCTCGGTACTGAGGTAGGCTTCTGGCATATGGAGTGAGGTCTGACCTTCCCCCTCAGGAAACAAATGATGCCCCCAGCAGGAACACCCTGGGAGCGAGGGCAGGAAAACCAGGTTCTTGCACTATAAAGGACTCTGGCTGCAGGAAACTTCTCATAAACATCAGCTAAGGGTAGCTTCTTCTCTCTTTGAGGTGTAAACGGCTTCTTACCTTTCACTGGGGACTACAGTGCCTTTTAGCACAAACTAAACCTGACAACTTGAAAGTAGCAAAAACGCTCTGCGCTCTGAATCTTTTGACCTGGCTTTTTACACTGCAATGTCCCAAGGCAAAATTCCTTATTTTTTTGCCACTAGTAAATGTTTGCATTTCAGAGGTGTCTTGGAGGCCTTTCAACCTGTACAGAAGCTGTGGATTTGGAGAATGCCTGAAGAAGACTGTCTCCCCACACCATCATTCTGTTTTGGCTTTTATATTTCTTGTATATGCGAAGCCACCCTCTTGTAATCTGACAAAACAGAAATGACACTTCTCTTCTTGTCAGGTGGACTTCTGAGACGAACATTAGCACCTATCCAGTACAAACATGCAGGGGACTGTTCATGTGCTAATGCTCAGAGCCCACTGATGAGTGCAGTAAACATTTTCATGAGAAGCTGTCCAGATAAAGAAAACAAGTGATCATTTGGTTAAAAGACTAACACTAAAATCAGAGACTGAGTTGAAGAAAAGCCTAGAAGGAAAGAGGGTAGAGAACTTCCTCCTGCTAAAGGCCAAAGGATCCTTGCAGACTCGTTTGGTATGTCATAGGTACATGTGCATCACCTCTTACAGTGTGGCAGGGGAAGAAACCCCAAACCAACGTGGCCACAGGACTTAAAAAACGGGGATTGTGGACCCAGTCTCATGCCTGAGGTCAAGGGTTCTCTAACAGAGATTTAGGAGCTCACAATTATAAGCAGGTCAGGTTCTGTAAATTTTCAGTGCCTGCAGTTAGGGAAAATATAAGGTCATGTTTTCAATTTACAATTTGCTCCTGGGATTCCTGATGACACTTAAGTAATGGTTCTTAGAATAATTTAGTAATCAGGCTCAGATTTGTCTCAAGATTTCTTTTGTGTTTGTATACATTTAGAGTTGCCCACGACTAGGGTTTGTTAATTATAGTTTTTAAATCTGTTCTACCCAGAATTACAGAGATCCTTTTATTTAAAATAACAGTAGGAACATAATAAACAAAGAGAGGAAAATAATCAAACATAATTGCCTTTAAGCTGATCCACATAATGCTATATTGAATACCCCAGCAAAGTAAAAAACATTTAGAAATGATTGATTACTTTATGGCAGTAAAACCCAAATGCTTCAGCTTCTTATTGGAAAGAATAATCAAATTGCATCATGTTGCTGCCTTAATCCCATTAGGGTTTAAAGAACATTGGTTTATTCACAGCCTTCTTTCATCTAACACTAGACAGAGCCCTGTATTAAATCATTATTCAGAGTTGCTTTAATACGGTACTTCCCAGTTCCATGTTTCTCACTCACACTGGAAATGGCTCATTTTAAGAACTGACAGATTAACATTAGTATTTCTAAAAAATTAAAAAGAACATTTTGTTTAACTTATCATGTAGTTAATTACGTATTAGTAATCTCAGTTGTTTTCATTACTAAGAGAGACTTGGGTTTAGCTTATCTGCAGGCTAATATTTTAGAAAATGATATTTAGTTCTGTTCAGTCAAATTCCTAGTTATGTCTCTTTTGTGGTTCACCCTTTTCCCAGGAGCCTCATATTTTGGCTTTTCCATATTGACATCAACATAGAATCTTTCTCAGTTCCTAGAAGGCTTCTTTTAAGCTACTTGTTTCCAGTTAGTTTCAAATCTTTTCCTACAATATCTTTTCATGCTATACAGAGGAACTATTAACCAGATGCATGAAGTACTCTTAAATTGGCTCCTTTCCTCAAAATTACTAATTTCTAAGTTTTGACTTCATAGATGCTGATCGTGCTGTATCCTCAAAGCAGTTATTACTGGAAACAGTAAGGTTTCAGTGACTACTGTCACAAAACTTCCGAAAAATTCTCCTAAATAACATTCTTTCAGTATTTTTCCCCAGATATTAATTAAATGTATATGATAATGTAGATATATTCCATGGGAATTACTTTCTTTGGCTACCCTATCAAGCCCCTTGGCATTTTATCTCAGAAGATGAAAAATGCATAAAACTACATTACCGCTGCAAATTTTTTTCCATAGCTGAGGTGTCTTGCAGCTGACATCTTGAGGGCTGTCCCAAGCATTATGAGTTGTAGAATTGAAATACATGAAGACAGAACTGCTTAGTGTAAAATGCTATACACTCTTCAGTCTAGAGGACAAACTCTACAGTGCAGGAAAAGATACCAGTAGCTGCGTATGTATATACCTATTACAACACTGCCTTCAATTACATGATCATGTGCCATCTCATTCCGTAGCACTCTATGTTTATTCTGATGTCTCAGGAATTACATAAAATGAAGTCGTTCCCCAAATGACTGTAAATCCTAGAACTTTTACTATTTTCTTTACAGTAAGCTAAAATTTATTATATTTTTGTATGTAATAATGGTAGACATGGCAGAAGTGTGTTTGGTGGTTTACAAAACTACGTTCAAGTAGCATATTAATACTGCTTATCCATTTTTTAGGATTCATCTTCTCCCTTATTCTTCTTTGGGCCTATCAAAAGCCTCTTTTTTCTAACTACTTCATATCCTACAACAGATGTTTTGCTGATCCTTTTCTCAGAAAAAGAAGAGAACATAAAAGCAACTACTCCCCAGGAGCACAATCTGATCCCTTTAAGGGCTTACTTTAAGCCTCCGGTCTGAAGGATTTTGTGGGAAAGCACCTGAGGAGTGAATACTTCTGATTTACAGGAAGCTTTCTCTTGAGAACTGATGATTACAGCAAGATGCTGGGGAGCCAGTCATCCCTCCCATTGTTCCAGTCACAGGAACAACAGAGAAGGACAGAGTAAATACCAGAATATCATATTTGACAGTATTCGTGTAGTGAAAAACCCACACAGAAGCCTCAGAGGTGATTTACATACACACGTGTGTTGGGTGAATCATTGAATAATCCCTAAAATAAGGATCAAGGTAGAGGTTGTCAAAACTACCATTGTTCATTTTCCTTTCTGCATTTCAATTCATTTTACAGGAGATACTCTTCATGTATTAAATGTATTTAGAGTTATTTTAGATACCTTATTTTTTTCATCTGATACTATGCATTAACATGAAGTTGCATCATCTAATCTATAACCTTTCTTTTTTTAAATACTATAATCAAATAAAGTTCCTTTAGTTTATATGCTGACTATTCTGCTTTAGAGTCTAGCTTCCTCACTGCTGATGGGACAGTTACAGCCGTTCAGTCTTCTCACTGGCAACTATATTCACTTTGAACATGGACAAGGAGAACAGAATTTATCCTCTTTGTATTGTTTCTTATCAAAATACAGAATGTTCTTGGGTGGTGGCTAAGGAAATAATGTTTTGGGTTTTACATATTCTCAGGAATGACAGACAAGTTAAATGACATGCTAATTGAGACATTGCATCTGCTGGAGAAACTCCTGACATTCTTCTAAAATCCATCCCCATTTAGGAGTGTAAGTCCAAACGTGGGTGTTGGGTTTTTTTAATTTTTTTTTTTTTTTCTGAAAGCTAAATATGTATATGATCAGTATTACTGAATGGAGGTGCTGTCTTCATCCACAGCTTTAGAAAGATCTCCTGCAAAACAAAAACATTAATAATTTAGATTATAAAACCTAAGATAAGGATAATTAAATTCAGATCAGCCTCAGCCATTTTGCATACCAGCTTTTTTGGTGTGAGTGTTTAGATTTGGGCCAGTAGACATATCGATGTTTTCATACTTGGATTTGAATGTGTGCAAGTCCTGAGAGTGTTTGAATGGCAGGTTTGGATCTCAATCTTCAGTCTTTTCCCATCTTTCTAAGCAGCATTTTTAATCATGGTGCACCAAAAAATAAAAAATAAAATAAAATAAAATAAAATAAAATAAAATAAAATAAAATAA